ATCTTTTCAAAACTTCTCCCAGTGATTCTGATGATCAGCCAGGTTTTGGGAGCTGCTGATTCTACAGATTCCCTACCCAGTGGCAGAGTTCTCTGGACAGTGTTCCTTCAGGATTGCTTAACCCCTTTGGGAACAGTGCAAGCTCATGACCTCACAAGGCAGCTGGCCCTTCCTGGAAAGTGTGTACAGGCTTTAGATGACCAGAGATGGAGGGCAAAAATATTTGAGGCAAATTATCGGACATAATCAGGAAATAGAGATAAGTTTGGAGAGGAAACCAGGGTTTCCATGATGGAGTGACTTCAATGTCACACTGAAGCATTTCAACTTGAGCTCGGCTGGTGCAGCTCAGTGGTTGAGCATTGACCTATGCACTGGGAGTCGCCGGTTCGATTACCAGTCAGGGCAAGCGCCCAGGTTGTGGGCCAAATCCCCAGTGGGGGGCATGCAGGAGGTGGCCAATCGATGTTCTCTCTCATCGATGTTTCCATCTCTCTCTTTCTCTCCCTTCTTCTCTCTCTAAACAAGGGAAAAAAAAGAATTTCAACTTGAGCCCTGGCCATTGTGGCTCAGCGGGTAGAGCATCAGCCTGTGTACCAAAGGGTCACAGGTTCAATTCCTGGTCAAGGCCATGTACCTGGGTTGCAGGTTCAATCCCCAGCCCTGGTCAGAGCTTGTGTGGGAGACACCCAATCGATGTGTCTCTCTCACATCAATGTTTCTCTCTCCCTCCCTCCCTTTCATTCTATCTACAAATCAATGGAAAAATATTCTCGGGTGAGAATTAACAATAACAACAAAATAGTTTCAACTTTATCCTGTTTGAGATGGAGACCCTTGATGGGATCTTGACCATCCCTGGGTTGAAAGAGCCTGCCAAAGCTGATCGGGTTGGAGTTCAAAGTGAGCACAAGTTTAATCCAGGAGTTCAAGTGAAGAGCAATAAGGACTTTGGGTCAGAAGCAGTAGAAACAGCGAAGTGGAGGGCAGTCTGAGCTGGCCTGCAGGACAGTCCTACAAAGCTGGCCTGGCTGGGGGCACAGAAGGCTCCATGCTCATTCTGAGCTTTGAGGTCCTGGTGAGCTGGAAACAGGAAGCTGAAGGGGACTGGAGGATCAAGAGCGGGTGAAGAAGACCAATGGCCAATGAGCCTTTGGACATTTGAAATACTTTGGTTTCTACCACCACCCATCACCCCATCACCGGTGCCAGAGCAGAGTTTAGTTATGACTCCCTTTATGACTCAGAGGTGGGCACGTTGGGGACCTTCAACATGTCTGGTGAATGCAGATAGCCCCGTCAACATCTTCTCTTCTCCAGACCCTCTCCGTGTGAGTTGAGGACCTTATCATTTCTCACTTAAATCATCACATGCCTGAGGACCGCTCTGCTCATACTGTTGCCTTGGTGTGAATTAGAACAAAATGTCCTTTCTGAGTTTCTGAATTGGAAAAAGGGGTGTTTACATGGGTGGAGGCGGCCCTTCCTTCAGGGCTTGGGCCGCAGGGTACACCTTCATGGGACGATCAATACTCCCCTTCCCATGGGATGAACCCCCCTGCTCCAGGATGAGGGGCTGGAGAGCTGAGCACAGGAGTGGGGGACCCGGGTGTGATCTTCCAGACGGTCTCTTAGATCCTACTTTCCTTTCCCATTTTTATTTCACAGAGTGATTTTTTCTCTAAAATGCAACTCCATCCCATTCTGCCTGAAACCTTCCCATTTTCCCAGTGTCTTCAGGATCAAGTTCCAACTCTTAACTCATAACAGACAGAAGACCATTTGTGATGGCTTTCTACCCTCCACCCAGGCCACTGTCCTCGCCTCCCTCCGCCCAGTCACAGCTGCCTGGATGAGACACAGACATGCTTCCTCACCAGACTGCGTTTTCCCACTCCAGGCCTGGCAAGCAGGTCCCTGCGCCCTCCCCCAGAGAGCCAGATGGCTGCGGGCTTCTCTGAGGTTTACTTGACTCATCGGAGGGGAGCTGTCCGCACCCTAACACCAGTTGGCATGGCACCGCCCCCATGTTCCCTTTTCCTCTGCACGGCCACCTGGAGCCAATGCTTCCCTGGCTGTGACCTGCTTGGGAACTGAGAATAGGGTCTGCTCCTGTCGCATCCCTCGGTTCTGGTATGTAGGCCCCTGGCGCATGCCTGTCGAAGGGACAAATGACTTAGAAACAATGAAAGTACAGATTTCACCCCCCCCACCCCAAACCAACACCACAACAACAAATCCCCAAACCAAAAAAAAAAAAAAAAAAAAAGAGCAAAGAAAGTTTTTGCTGCTTTCTAAACACGGAATATTCTGTTGGTGGTCAAAGCCTTTTGATTTCCCCTACTTTTACGTCGTCTTGGAAGGGGTGTGCATTTAGAGGATAATGACCTTTGGAAAGGGAATTGTTGGCATGAAATCGGAGGCCGCCATTCCGAGGCTGGTTTGCTCAGGTATGTCTGTGTACTTGACCTTTGTGAGAGGCTTAAAAAAAGGCCTGTAGGTTCAGGGAACACATACTTGATCTCTTGAAAAACATGTCGACTTTGCCCTGGCCAGTCTGGCTCAGCAGTTAGAGAGTTGGCCCACGAACCAATGGGTCATGGGTTTAACTCTGGTCAAGGGCACATATCTCGGTTGCGGCTCATCCCCGGCCCTGGTTGGGGCATGCAGGAGGCAGCCAGTCGAAATGTCTCTCTCCCGTCGATGTTTCTCTCTCTCTCCCCTCTCCTTCTCCCTCCCTCCCACTCTATCTGATGATAAACAGAAAGTGTCCGCAGGTGAAGATTAAGAAGCAAGCAAACAAACAAAAACCCTGTCAACCTTGAAGACGGAGGACTCGGCCGTCTCTCCGAGACGGAGATGCCGGCAGTGACCTCCCTGATGACACGGCAGCTGTAAGACCAGCCCGGTGATGGACTTGGAAACGCTTCTCCAGTCCATCCAAAGGTTTTGCCAGGAACTTCCAAGACAGTTTATATTTATTTTGTGTTTGTGTGCATCTCCTGTCTTCTCACAAAGAATGTGAAGAGACTGTGAGAATGTGTTCAATGAAACAAGAAACAATGGAATGTAAAACATCCCTTAAATTTCAGAAGCAAATGGCAGGTGGGCAAAATGTGAAGTCGGAGACTGATGTGAGAGACGAGGGCTGTGACTTAGACCTGTCAGCCCAAATGCTAGGGTGGTGGATGCTGTGCTTTACTTTAATTAAAAATTTTTTTTGTGACTCCTCACCCAAGGATATTTCTCTCTTGATTTTTAGATAGTGTGGAAGGGAGGGAGGGGGACAGAGAAACATTCATGTGAGAGAAACATATTGATTGGTTGCCTCCTGCACGGCACTGAGCAGGGCCGGGATTGAACCTGCAACCCAGGTACATGCCCTTGACCAGGAGTTGAACCCGAGACCCTCTGGTCCTCAGACCAATGCTGTGCTTTCTTGGGGCACAACCTGAATGGAAATTCATTCTGAAGGGTGGTTCTCCTGGTCCATAAAGAAATACAGTAGCTGTTTTTCATTTTTTCCAGCTGTTCTCATCAATTTCCAACAGCATGCTAGGCTTTCTTTCTTTTCTCTGAGCCTTTTAGTTAGTTTTTGAAAACAAATACATAAGTAGTTATCGATTAATATTTATTTATAGCTATTAATTATTTTACAAGAATTGGGCTCTCTGCACTGATTTTTATTTTATTTTTTTCCCCTCTCCACATCCTGTATATTACACATAATTTGCTCAAGGGAGTGACCATTTCAGGATATGTTTTTTTTAAATCTTCACCTCAGGATATTTTTTACATTTATCATCAGATAGAATGTGGGGGAGGGAGGGAGAGAGAGAAACAATGATATGAGAGACACATTGACTGGTTGCCTCCTGCATGACCTGACCAGGGCTGGGGATGAACTGCAACCAAGGCACGTGCCCTTGACCGGAATTGAATCCGCGACTCATTGGTCTGCGGGCCGATGCTCTAACCACTGAGCAAAGTGGCCAGGGCTTGGGATAAGCTTGGATAGACATTGATTTCTAGTTTGGCTTGGAGTCTAAGATACAGTGTCTAGTTCCTTTATCTTTCGGACAAAAACTTGAACTTCTGAAAACTTCTACGTCCTCCAAATGCAAGGTGTAATGATTATCATGAGGGTATTAATTCATATTTTAATTAATTAATACTGTAATAATAAGTGTACATACTTTCCTTTTCCCACAAACTCTCTTTGGAATATGCCTCATATTTACTTACTATGAGACTAAGTGCATATAACACTTGTTGATATCAAAATATTCCTCCCTCCTTTCTTTAAGCAGCTGTTGAGTGTCTGCAGGGACTCACCTGTCCACAGAAGAGACAGAATTCTGTCTCAAACAGCCTCTCCCCAGCATCCTTTGTTCAGGACAGAACTAGGCTTATTCCTATGTACTCAGTAAATATTTGTCAGTTTGAACTTGACACTATAAATGAACTTGTCCTTTATTTCAGTGGTGAAGGGTAAGTAGTGTCTGTCAATTGGTAGAATTATTTTCCAAGTTCACCCTTGACTTCAAAGAAAAGAGCAACTTTCAGAGCTCATTTGAGTCTATCTATTCGTGCATTTGTGCACAGATTACCTTTGGGGAGGATGTCAAATGGACAGAAAGGGGAGAAGCCAAGCGGATACTCTTCTGTTGCTTCCCTGCTTTGCTTGACATTAATCATGGAAGTTTTTACTAACTTTGTGTGAAAGGAGTAAATGGGAAGACTGCGGAAGCTCACTACATACTAGTTTCTTTACTATACTGTAATGGAATAAAATGAGAGGCTCTCACGCCTTTATTTCTACACGACCCACCCTTCTATCTTCTCCTTTTCTCTTTTTTTCACTGCGAGAATGACTCGTATGCGTCTCCCCCTAAAACCTGTGATGTGGGTGCAAGGCTCCACGTCCAGCATTTTCCTTCCATCTCTTCTGTGATTTAAGACACCTGGGGGGAGGGATAGATGAGCTCCCACATCAACGGATGACGATTCTTATCTTTGTAAGTGACCCACAATTTGGTTATTGGTGCAATGAGAAATTAAGAAAACAGCACACTTTTATGACTGTCATTTCACAGTCACTCAAATCAGAACTGGAATGCCACAAAAACAACTCCCTGTTAGCCCAGAGAAGAAAAAAAAGAAAGAAAGTAAAGGGGAAATTCAGATTAGTCACAAAGAAGTTCCCCGCCTGCCTGCAAGGCACCAGCATTAAAACTGAGAGAGTCCGCTGTGCTCTTTCAATTGCCTCTTATCTCTGGTCCTAGGACCTGTGTGGATGTGCTGCTGATTGACACACGTCCTGTCTTCATCTCCTGCTTGGCAGGGGTGAGGTCAGTTCTCCCTCAGGTTTCCCTTTGGCCCAGTCCTCATCTTTCTTGCATCCCCACTGTGAAGATGGAAGGGGTCCAACCCCTGGATGAGAATGTGAGAAACGTACCAGGACTGAGATTCCAGACCAACAAGATATTGCTGGTGAGCTCCGTGGTCCAGGGGCTGGGGCTGCTCCTGTGTCTCACCTACGTCTGCCTGCACTTCTTTGCTCCTCAGGTAAGATGCACTCATCGCTCGTGCTGAGAGCGGCTCCAACAGCTGCAAAGGGTCCCATGGAATCACTCTGATAACCCAGTCGTGAAGTTTTGTTTTTCCTTTTCCCTTTGGCGATTGTGCAGTGTGTGGTTAAACCCCCTCCGGTCTCTTTTTTCCTTCCCTTTTCTCAGTAGTGGTGTTGGCGCACCGTGGAGGCAGGGCAGGGGCGCCGAGCCTGGATTCCTCTCTGTCTTTGCAATGCGGGAACACTGGGATTCTTTCACGAGCCGCCACTTGGAAGCTTTGAGCCACTGCTATGCCTAGTCCGCCCATGCTGCTAGGGAGCGTCTGGTCAGGGAACTCATCTGGAAAGGAAGTAAGAATGAGCTCAGTTCCACTTTGCTACTGTATTCCTAAAACCCATCGACACTTGCAGGTGGTGGCACGGGCTTTGTCGAGAATGCTGGAGGCATCAATATTAGGTTCTTTGAAATAGCTCATGGTTCTCAAGGCAGAGCTGTTGGTGTCCATGTGCACACGGCCAAACACTGACCCTGGCAGCTTCCTGGGATATTGATCCTCACAGCCTTTCTCTACTAATCACAACGTACTGGCTTGGTCTGTTTTCCCCTTGACCAACACATTATGTGCTGGGCGAGCATTCTTCTTGTGTTCCCCCACCTGATGAAGATATCCTTGCATTTTCCCTTCTCTTATCCGATCCCTTTCACATTCTTTTTTTTTTTTTCTTTGTTCCTACCCGAAAATATTATTAGGTCCCTAAGGACGTTCTTGGCTGCAGGCAAGAGCTCGGAAGGTGACTGTCTGGTCTGCCCGAGTCCCCTTGTCCAGGCTAGCCGATCATTCTCATTCCCCTGGGGATGCTCCGGGCTGGAAAAGTCTGTCCCTGGTAAAGAGGAGACAGTAGGGACTTCATTGCTAAAGGACAAGTCAGAGACTGGGTGTCTCAAGCAAGGCCAGGATAAGCGGAGCAGAGTCCCAGAAGATGCCTGGGCTTGCCTTCCGCCACCGGAAGCGGGGGATTTTGGTGCAGAGAGGCTGGTGGCAGTGCGGCCGAGTTCAGCGCCCTGCACAGCGGGCTCACGTCCTCGCTGCAGACCTCAGTCTGCAGACAGCGCGCAGCCGCCACACTCCCGCGCTCTGCAGGGCCGTCGGGGGCAAGGAGCGAGGCGATTCGGGGTGCGGGCAGGGGCGGTGCGCGGGCCCTTGGCAGGGAGCCTAATGCGCAGAGACCGGAACTGGGCTCTTCCGAGAAGAAAACAAAGAGCCGCTAAAAATAGAACAGCTGAGCGCAGGCACCGGGTCTCCAGCCCCGGGAGTGCTTTTTCAAGAACCACAGTGCCACCGTCCTCGCACTGGTGATGGAGAGATAGGACCCACGGCCCCGTGGACTCCACCAGGCTGTGAGCAGGCAGAGAGCCCGCGGTGGCCGGGCCTGGCCCGCAGCCCGGGGCGCTGAGCGGGACAGGGGCCCTTTCTGCCACGTCACCCAGCTGTGGCCAGGCCCCGAAGGAGACCCCAGTGCTGGTGGCCAGGACACTAAATCCCGGGGAGCTTTCTCTGATCCTGGCGCAGAAACGGAAACCCAGACCTAGGAGGTACGTTAGAGCTGCTGGCTCCAGAAACGAGCTCTCGTGCACTCTGGATACAGGAGTTTGGGGGCGCAGGTATTTGAAATTCTTCAGTTAAGCCTGACTTTTCTTTTTTTTTTTTTCTCTTATTTTCAGCTAGACTGTTTTAGCTAAGGTAACTTCTTACACTGTTACAGGGTGACGGCCCCGCAGTGGGTCCTTACATTTAATCTCATCATGTACTTGATTAGGGGGGAAGACAGCAGACATAGATCGTGTGATTCTCCCTGGAAGCTGATCAAATGGTGGTGGTGGCAGAGAGAGAGGGAGGGAGGAAGGGAGGGAAGGAGAGAGAGAGAGAGAGAGAGAGAGAGAGAGAGAGAGAGAGAGAGGTATGTAGAGTAGCGGTTGAAAAAGGGACACAGACTGATAACCTTCCTAAACTCATGGATAACATTGTTTGGAAGTTTGGTTGAAGGATGGGCTAGGCCTTGATGTAACAAAGCCTCTACTTTGATAAAACAATGTCGCAGTGATCTGTAGATGCTGAAATAGAGCGGAACAGCTTGTCCGCACCCAGTTAAGTTGGATTTTTTTTTTTTGGTATTGTCGGAGAAAGATATTTGGAGAATAATCATAATTTTCCCTTATGTCTTAGATGGAAGTTTTAGCCTCGTAAAATGACTCCCTCCATGAAGGGCTCTGTGAGAACACAGAGGTAACTCTTCCACTCGCTCGACACTCAGCTTCCCCTCCGCACTCGGTGACGGTAGGATGACTTAGTGCAGAGCAGAAGTTGTTTTGGGATGTCAGAAAAATAAAAGATGACCCTTTCCCACTCGTATAAGTCACTTCCTTCTTTGGGCTTTGATTTTTCTCATGTGTAAGTAGTTAGATCAAATGATCAAAACGATCTCTTCCAACTTGTTCTATGACTATGTACTTTATGTGTATGTTCATAGGGTTATAGGATGTTTTGAGAAATATAAAATGCAAGTAAGCAGATTTTTGTGTCTGAGCTTATGAATTTCCTGGTTCTTAAGGAGGGATTGGAGGAAATAAAATTTGCACATGTGTTTGTAATTTGTACTTATTCGTATACTGTGTACATATCTAAATAACCTATTTGGGATCAGCAAAATACCTTATTTAGAAGGTGGAAAGAAGTGGATGCTAGAAGAGTATCCATGGTGCACACGATAAAATTGAGGCTTCTGTCCCCAAAACCAGTACATACTCTTTGGATATCTATAAAGGCTTGCAGTCTTAACTGTCACTTCGGCTGGGAGCCAGGGCAGAAAGGTAGATCAATTTACAAATATAATTATTAGGTTAGAAATATAATTTGTAAATTATATTCATGTGTCTCAGGGCTGTTGAAGCAGGGCTTTGTATCACCCTAATCATAGCAATTTATAGGGCTTTTAGTGATCATTCTTCAGCAAATTTCAGTTAAAGATTTACATTCTTATCACTTTTACTGCTGGGAAAAACAGAAGTAGAGGAACTTGGAAAGTGAGCTGACCAGTTCTGTGCCTATTGGAATACACAGTTTCTTGATGAAGTTTCAGGCTATAACATCAACTTTTGCTTGCATCATTTAGGGAGAAAAAGAAGCATTTTTTGGGGGCCTTAAAAATCTTGTCTCAGATTAGCTCAATTTAAATGTATCCCCATTGCAATCTAACAAGTATTTTAGACACTCTTTTTTTAATGACAGACATCCAAAGAAATGATTTTCAATGCAACTGAGTTTACATTTCTTAAGCGATTCTGTGGGAATTACAAAGAAACATCTGAAATATTGAACTGGTTTGTTTTTAAGTATTTGGAGTCTCCTAAGGGAGCTAATATTTGAAGGAGGAGTGCAAAGTCTTTAAGTAGACAAGAAGGATGGCAGTGGTCAGGAAAGGGGTAGAAAGCTTTGTGGGTAGAAGGGTTGTTCAGAACGGTTGATGTTGAGTGCTTTTAGGGCAAATAGTGGAAGATGAAGCTGGAAAGGGTCTTGTAACTCATGCTAGGGAACACACTTCCTTCTATTCTATGCAAAAGAACATACAGGAAAAATCACCCAAATGGCTGCTTCTCCAAATTTCACTTCTCTTCTGTGGTCTACATATTTCCAGAGATAGAAAGTGAATCTGATCTCATGCTGCACTAGGGGGCGCCACAGTAAAACTAACCATTTTCAGATGGCTTACAGAGAGCCTACTTTCTTTTCTGGAGGAGTTAAAATTTGAAAACTTTTCTGGGGAAGCCAAGTGCTCACCAGGTGTAAGAAAATAAACAGTGGGGGGGGGGGGAGCTGCCTATTGTTCACTATTTACACAGTGATAATATTTTGTAACTGAAAAGTTTTGATATGGTACTGACCCAAGTACTCACAACAGGACAGAAACATTTGTACTGGGATCATGCTGGAATGTCACATATGACCACATAAATGGAAAGACACACACACAGTAACTCAGATCTCATAAGGCCTACCATAATTAGGGTTAACCTTAACTTTCCTTACTGTAGTTTTAAGATAAAAAAAAAAATCCTTTGGAATAACTGTAGTATTTTTTAATATAGATTTCTAATGGCGAGTTCATGGCTGCAGTAGAGAACAAAAATGGAAGGGAGAATTTACTAGGGTATAAGGGATAATTTATTAGGGTGTAAGGGAGAATTTACTAGGGTATAAGGGAGAATTTACTAGGGTATAAGGAGAATTTACTAGGGAATAAGGGAGAATTTATTAGGGTATAAGGGGGAATTTATTAGGGTATAAGGGAGAATTTACTAGGGTATAAGGGAGAATTTATTAGGGTATAAGGGAGAATTTATTAGGGTATAAGGGAGAATTTACTAGGGTATAAGGGAGAATTTATTAGGGTATAAGGAGAATTTACTAGGGTATAAGGGAGAATTTATTAGGGTATAAGGGGGAATTTATTAGGGTATAAGGGAGAATTTACTAGGGTATAAGGGAGAATTTATTAGGGTATAAGGGAGAATTTACTAGGGTATAAGGGAGAATTTATTAGGGTATAAGGGAGAATTTACTAGGGTATAAGGGAGAATTTATTAGGGTATAAGGGAATTACTAGGGTATAAGGAAGAATTTATTCAGGGTATAAGGAGAATTTACTAGGGTATAAGGGAGAATTTATTAGGGTATAAGGAGAATTTATTAGGGTATAAGGGAGAATTTATTAGGGTATAAGGGAGAATTTACTAGGGTATAAGGGGGAATTTATTAGGGTATAAGGGGGAATTTATTAGGGTATAAGGGAGAATTTATTAGGGTATAAGGAGAATTTATTAGGGTATAAGGGAGAATTTACTAGGGTATAAGGGAGAATTTATTAGGGTATAAGGAGAATTTATTAGGGTATAAGGGAGAATTTAGTAGGGTATAAGGGAGAATTGACTAGGGTATAA